TACCCCCCTTACAACTTTGTTGTGCGGGGGTATAATAAGGGGCCCATGTACGATGACCAGGGATCATCTAGATGTACATACTCTTTTTGATTATGGAACAGATATGAGGGTATCGCGTAAAATGACAAGGGTATCATCTATAGATGTACATATACTATAGTATTCATTGAACAGAAATAAGGGGATCACGTAAGATGACAAGGGGATCATCTAGATGTACATATACAATAATATTCATTGAACAGAAATAAGGGGATCACGTAAGATTACAAGATCATCTGGATGTACATAAATTTTTTTCATTACATATCAGATGTAAGGGGATCAAATAAAATGACCAAGGGATCATCTAGATGTACATATACTATGGACAAACGGAGTATAATTATGAATTAATTAGAAGTACACCATAGCTTCAATAACTATTTTTATGTGCTGCACCGGTGTGTGTTACCATGGTTACGCTTTATCACAACAAATGAATACATTGTAGAAAAACATTTTACAATCCCTATACATATGAAAGTATTTTAATTTGGATGGAATATGAATATGCAAGACTCTCAGTCCTATTACTTTTTGAACAACCCTCGTATATGTACATCTAGATTATTTCTGTTCAATGAATGCTATAGTATATGTATATATAGACGATCCCTTTGTCATCTTACGTGATCTCCCGATATCTGTTCAATGAATCTTATACTGTATGCACATCTAGACGATCCCCTGGTCATCTTACGTGATCCCCTTATTTCTGTTCAATAAAAAACTATAGCATATGTAAAATTAGATGATCCCCTGGTCATCTTACGTTATCCCCTTATATATCCCTTCCATAATAAGAAAGAGGACATGTATATCTAGATGATCTCCTGGTCACCTTACGTGATCCACTGATATCAGTTCAATGAAAATTATTTTATGTGTACAAGTAGATGATCCCGTGGTCATCAAGTACGTGACCCGCTGATATCTGTTCAATGAAAAAATAGTATATGTACATCTAAATGATTCCCTGGTCATCTTACGTGATCGCGTTGTATCTGTTCAATGAAAATTATTTTGTGTAAACTTGGTCCTCTTATGATGTGATTCCTAATATATTTTTCATATGAACATAAGTATACATTGTATGTACATTCAGATGATCCTTTAGTCATCTAACTTGATATCCTCACATAGGTTCATATGCTGATTAAATCATTTGGCATATGAATGAAAGCACCATTATTGCACGACTTAACACTTTAAAGCCTGTTTCCATTTTTATAAGACATTTGTGCGTGTATATTTATTAGGGGTATTAAGCATATGCACTAATACACAGTAACACTGATCATTTCCACAGATTTATAGTTTATTTTAATCATGATGATAACGCTTTATAAGAAATTCGTGCTTAATTTATAGGCGGGGCTAAATATGCAAAGTGTACTCTTACTCGGTCCCTTTTGCCGTTTACCCCTTCTGTTTGGGGGTTTGAATGGGGCAGCAGCTTCCCTCATCGCCAAGAAAATTTTGGACTTGTGAGAGGCTAAAAATAACCCCAGATATCATTTGTTCCAAGTTTGATTAGTATTGAAGCACTATTTGCAGAATAATTCTCTTTGATTATCTAACATGATTGGCACAAGTCCCATAACTCTGATTTGCTTTTTTGCATAATTATGCCCTTTTTCGACTTAGAAATTCTTGGTTAAGTTTTTGCGTGCAAGCTGGTATCTCCGTAACTACTGAAGGGAATGGATTGAAACTTCACACACTTGTTCTCTGTGATTATCTTACATGATTGGCACAAGTCCCATAACTCTGATTTGCTTTTTTGCATAATAATGCCCCTTTTTCGACTTAGAAATTTTTGGTTAAGTTTTTGCGTGCAAGCTGGTATCTCCATAACTACTGAAGGGAATGGATTGAAACTTCACACACTTGTTCTCTGTGATTATCTTACATGATTGGCACAAGTCCCATAACTCTGATTTGCTTTTTTGCATAATTATGCGCCTTTTTCGACTTAGAAATTCTTGGTTAAGCAAATATCTCCATAACTACTGAAGGGTTTGTGCCTTTTTTTGAACAATTTTATGCATTTTATAATAATAAAGCAGTGATTAACTCGATAAAACATCTTAATAACAAGCCTTTGTACCTTTTCGGACAATTTTATGTATTCATATAGGTAAGCATTATTATACTCAATGAAACACACTTGTGACAACTTTTCGAATAGTCGAGCTTTACTGTCCTCCGACAGTTCTTGTGATAGTTTTATAGCAATTTGAACTTGTAACAGGAGACTTTTCAATGAAAACAGCCATTTTACACAAAATGTTCATGCGGTAATGGGTTAAATGGATAGCATTTTTGCTAACCGTGACACCCCTAACAAAGTGTTGACACCTTAGTGACATGCAAGTTTAAGTGCAAACTCTTTTTATACTTTTAATGCACTTCTGTATTTTACATTGCGCCCTTAGTCATGCATACTTAAAAGCATGCAACAAATGGGTGTGGTCACGAGAATCTATTACCTGTTTATTCTGTACTATTTAGCAGCAATGTATACTAGCATGTACAGTTTTTATACAAGAATTACCTTTTTCGCACACTTATTTTTCTTTGTGGATGAGAATTAATAATTACCATTAAGTTATACTAACCATCCTGTGGAATTGTGATTCAAAATATATGATGAAATTATTTTTATACCCCCAAAAACGAAGTTTGGGGGGTAAATAGGAGTCACCCGGTGGTCGTCCAGATGTCCGTTGCATTTTCCTTGTCCGGAGCATAACTTGAAGACTAATGTTTGGAATTCAATATAACTACATACAAAGGTCAAGCACATTGAGAGGAAGTGCAGTGCACAATAACCATAACTCAATCTTGACTAATTACAGAGTTATTGCCCTTTGTTACTTTTCCTTGTCCGGGGCATAACTTGAAAACTACTGGTTGGAATTCAAAACAACTTCATACAATTGTCAAACACAATAAGGGGAAGTGTAGTGCACAAGAACCATAACTCTATCTAAAGTAATTACAGAGTTATTGCCCTTTGTTGCTTTTCCATTTTATTTTTTTTTTGTCAGGACCATAACTTGAAGACTAATAGTTTGAATTCAATATAACTACATACAATGGTCAAGCACATTGACAGGAAGTGCATTGCACAAGAGCCATAACTCTATCTTGACTAATTGCAGAGTTATTGCCCTTTGTTGCTTTTCCATTGCTTTTTTTTTGTCCGGACCATAACTTGAAGACTAATAGTTTGAATTCAATATAACTACATACAATGGTCAAGCACATTGAGAGGAAGTGCAGTGCACAAGAACCATAACTCTATCTTGACTAATTACAGAGTTATTGCCCTTTGTTACTTTTCCTTGTCCGGGGCATAATTTGAAAACAACTGGTTGGAATTCAAAACAACTTCATACAATTGTCAAACACAATAAGGGGAAGTGCAGTGCACAAGAACCATAACTCTATCTAAAGTAATTACAGAGTTATTGCCCTTTGTTACTTTTCCATTGTCTTTTTTGTCCGGACCATAACTTGAAGACTAATGGTTTGAATTCAGTATAACTTCATACAATGGTCAAGCACATTGAGAGGAAGTGCAGTGCACAAGAACCATAACTCTATCTTGACTAATTACAGAGTAATTGCCCTTTGTTACTTTTCCTTGTCCGGGGCATAATTTGAAAACAACTGGTTGGAATTCAAAACAACTTCATACAATTGTCAAACACAATAAGGGGAAGTGCAGTGCACAAGAACCATAACTCTATCTAAAGTAATTACAGAGTTATTGCCCTTTGTTGCTTTTCCATTGCTTTTTTTTTTGTCAGGACCATAACTTGAAGACTAATAGTTTGAATTCAATATAACTACATACAATGGTCAAGCACATTGACAGGAAGTGCAGTGCACAAGAGCCATAACTCTATCTTGACTTATTGCAGAGTTATTGCCCTTTGTTGCTTTTCCATTGCTTTTTTTTTGTCCGGACCATAACTTGAAGACTAATAGTTTGAATTCAATATAACTACATACAATGGTCAAGAAAATTGAGAGGAAGTGCAGTGCACAAGAACCATAACTCTATCTTGACTAATTACAGAGTTATTGCCCTTTGTTACTTTTCCTTGTCTGGGGCATAATTTGAAAACAACTGGTTGGAATTCAAAACAACTTCATACAATTGTCAAACACAATAAGGGGAAGTGCAGTGCACAAGAACCATAACTCTATCTAAAGTAATTACAGAGTTATTGCCCTTTGTTACTTTTCCATTGTCTTTTTTGTCCAGACCATAACTTGAAGACTAATGGTTTGAATTCAGTATAACTTCATACAATGGTCAAGCACATTGAGAGAAAGTGCAGTGCACAAGAACCATAACTCCATCTTGACTAATTACAGAGTTATTGCCCTTTGTTACTTTTCCTTGTCCAGAGCATAACTTGAAAACTACTGATTGGAATTCAATACAACTTCATACAGTTGTCAAGAAAATTAAAAGGAAGTGCAGTGCACAAGAGCCATAACTCCATTTGACAAAATACAGAGTAACTGCCCTTTGATACTTTTCCTTGTCAGGAGCATAACTTAAAACGTACTGGTTGGAATTTAAAACAACTTCATACAATGGTCAAGCACAATAATAGGAAGTGCAGTGCACAATAACTATAACTCTATCTTCAGTATTTATAGAGTTTGCCCTTTGTTCCTTTTCTTTGTCTTTCTGGACTTATTACAGAGTAATTCAATTAAACTTCATCAATGGCCAACCACATTGAAAGGAAATGCAACATAGAAGAACAACAACTATCTTTAATTGCCCACAACCATAACTCTATATTTCAATTCTTTTACAAGGTATTCTGTTACTAGTAACATCCTCATTTCCGAAGCAGTCTTGTGGGGGTATTAATCACATTTAGTGATAGTTCTAGTCTTTTTATGGTATAACTATTTTCATTATTCAGATGGAAATAATTATTCAGATGGAAATAGGGAAGGAATAGAGGAAGAGGTGCAGCCACTTCAAGATATAGAAGGTAATACTGGTTTGGTTTGTTGTTGTGTTAAGAGATGTCCACTAAAGCCTCAAAACATAAAATTATGCAGATTATAAATATACATGTATATACTAAAATTTAAATTAAAAAATCGGCAGTGCAATTCTTAGAACAACATGAATTCAAAGTATTTAAACACTTTTCATTTAAGGTCAAAAAATATTATTTTGGAAAAAACGGAATGAGCAAATGATCTGAATTTTGTGCACTATTGCTATAGACCCTTTCATTTAAGCGATTACAGTCAGTGAAGAGTTACTTCCCTTACCGGATGTGACGTAAATGGGGGATAAAACTATGCATGCCGCATAGAAAGTTAGCTTATTGAAAAGTTAAATGCGTAAATACTGATCGTTCAATTATGATTATAACATGTAAAAATTTACGCATGCATACATAAATTCAATATCAAGACAATAGAAAAAAATACAAAAGCAAAGATTGAGATTAATTCTCGCTACCACAGATTTATAAATCTACATGTCGCAACAGAGTGAAACATCGAAATTTCAAAGTGAATATTTTTATTAGATCTAGATTTTCTCAAATACCAGGATAAAAGGCTAGTAACTAAATCAAAGTTTAATATTTTACAAACACCTATACACACCGAAATTGCCTATTATAAATTTAAATGGCTATTTTCTAGTTTTCTGTGTTATTTTCTGTCATTTAGAAAATTCTGGCGTATTTGTGACAAACCTGAAAACACGTATTTATATTACATTAGTAATATAAATCCGTGTTGAAAATAAGATTGCCAATGTCTTTTAATGATTGTTTTTCAAGCTTTAATAGAACAATAACAGAATGCATTATGTCAATACTTATTGATTCTTTTTCATTACGCCGTATAAAAAATATTTCAATGAACCAGTGAAGGATATAATTTTATTAATATTCCGGAAAGAACGAAAACCATGTGGCATTGACTTTTATAACTTTAGATTCGCAACAGACGATAATAAGATAATTTTGATATTAAAAATCTATTCTTTAAAGACCTTTTCCCAGCAACTTATTTCATAGATAAATAGATGTGTATATATAAGCGCCACTGGGCCGTAACTTATAAATTAAAACGGTACATATGTCGTATATACAAGCGGCACTTGGCTGTGATATCATAAATCACCAGGGTGCATTTTTTAGAGTTATAACATTACATCAGATTACGTCACTTTTGTTAGTTGTCAAAATATTTATGGTCCGAATTTTGTTATGGATCATCCTAGGGACTTAATTGGTTATGCCTTACTGATTTGATACTCGATCCAGAGTCCTACCAACTGGCACAGTCAAAAATACGTAAAATTATAATTCAATTAATAACAACTTGTTTTTGTTTTTTTGTTTTTTTTTGTGCTTTTTAAAATATTTGATAAGCAGAGTATGAATTAAAAAGTATCCAGTTGAAAATATTACTTTACCAGCTTGAATAATATTTGTGTGATGTACGATTTTTTGAGAGTGCATTTTTGCAGACACAAATAGTATACAGTCCTGTACATTCAAAAGAATTTTTATTTTTTATGCCTTTACATTTTTTTTTAAATTACATAGATTTATATTGTTTTCTTTTCTTTATCTTAGTAATGCTTAAATCAAAATTATTTTAATAAACCAGTATCTTGCAATTAATTATTACGCAGCCGTTTTTCGAAACTACAGAATCCTTACATTTTTGAAACTCAAAATATCTTTTGGGTATTTTATATTAGCAGATACCTAGATACATTACTTATATCTCTGGTATTAGCAAGTTAGTACGATTTAACTGCCTGGGAAAAGTTTCATTATTAAGAATCTAACGAAAATGGTAAGATCATGATCAGTTACCCAGGAATATGGTCTACTATTAAAACAAATCGTTAACCATATTATATAGTAAACATATTTATTCATTTCTCCATCTTTTTTATGTAATATCTTATTTAATTACACAAAATTTTGGCAATTTCAATCTGCCAATCTTAAAAGAGAAAGGTTTAAGATCTTTATATCCCTCTATTTTTATACATAATCGTATCGGCATTGTCCACCGTATCCCCCAATGACGTCATCCAAGGGCGACAACTTGAATACGGTCTTAAATGAAAGGGTCTATAGAGCTGCATTTTATGATATAAAAATTACATATTATATATAATGTCAAAAAATTTAAAACATACATTGAAGTCATGAAAGATTTCATCACTTGCAAAAGATACATTGAAGTCAAGAAAGATTTCATCACTTGCGAAACATTCCTTGATGAGCACAACTGGCTCAACATAAACAATAGTCTCACATGTTTACATGTACATTGTAGTTTATAAAAGAACAGAAAGTACAAGAGGGGAAGTTATACTATAAAAGTTTGAAAAAATATAGAATAAGATATTTACATTCATATATCGATAATTAACATATTTCTAATCATTATTAAATATTCTTAGTATTATATCCAAACTGATTATTCAAAACTATTTTTATATTATGAACGAATACATGTATAACCCAAAACTAAACACATTTTTGTTTGACATCTTTGAATTAGAGAGGTTCCACTGTTTATAGTTAATTTGCTTTATGTTTAAGGTGAAACACCAGCTGATAAATCGGAAGAAGAAATTGCTTTTATAAATGAAGCAAACGGAAAAATTGCTAATGGTACAGGTGCTTTACCAAAGAAGGAAGGAACGATGGCAAATGGTACTGATGCCTTACCAAAGGAAGGAACAATGGCAAATGGTACAGATGCTTTACCAAAGGAAGGAACAATGGTAAATGGTACAGATGCTTTACCAAAGGAAGGAACAATGGTAAATGGTACAGATGCTTTACCAAATAAGGAAGGAACAATGGTAAATGGTACAGATGCTTTACCAAAGGAAGGAACAATGCCAAATGGTACAGATGCTTTACCAAAGGAAGGAACAATGGTAAATGGTACAGATGCTTTACCAAAGGAAGGAACAATGGTAAATGGTACAGATGCTTTACCAAAGGAAGGAAAAATGGTAAATGGTACAGATGCTTTACCAAAGGAAGGAACAATGGTGAATGGTACTGGTGCTTTACCAAATAAGGAAGGAACAATGGTGAATGGTACTGATGCTTTACCAAAGAAGGAAGGAACAATGCCAAATGGTACAAATGCTATACCAAAGAAGGAAGGAACAAGGGCAAATGGTATAACTTTATAAAGACATGCTTTATTAATTATACCCCCCCCCCCCCCCCTTGAAAAATCTGAAGAAGTAGGATATTGAAATGGTGTTGTCAGTCTGGATTCAGAGCCTAGAATCAATTTGTCCAGCTTTTATCTCACCTGAGTACAAAGAGAATTTTGTTTTGTTTGTTTTTTGGCGAATCTAAATCCGTTGCGCAACCAGGAAAGATGTTTTTTGGTTAACCTTTTTTAAACTTTTAGCAAGACCAGGGGTCAAAACCATCTTATATCCCGGAGCTATATGAGATGCATAAACTCCAGTAATACAAACCCATTTAGACGTCTCCTACTATCAAATGGGGTTAAGTGTTGGCTTGAATTCTGATGCCTCAACCTGTAAAGTCAATTCCACACCCACAAAGCGGGACATTGACACATATCCTTTGAAATAAAGATCAGGGAAATGATTAAATCTGTTGGAAAAGGATTCAATTACAGAGTTTGGAGCAAATCTGGCGGCATGCACGAGTGGTGAACATGTAGGACTAGTAATCTATGATTGCTGTCCCTTGTGGATTCAAACCTGTCAAGACCAAGCTGTTGTCTCCTTGAGCAAGAAACTTTACACTCATTGATCATTACTGGTTGGTTTCAGGAACTGATTCAAGAGTGTGTATATAAGCTTCCTACACACGAAGTTTAGGGGGGGGTATATGTGAGTCAGCTTGTCGGTTGGTCGGTTTGTAATCAAACTTGGTATGTAGCAACCTTATATGGAAACTCTGGTTGGTATTGCATTTGGACCCCCTGGCTTCAAGGTCAAGGTCACCCTTACTAAAAATGGTTTCCGGACAATACCTAGAGTTAGGAATGAGATATTGTAATCAAACTTGGTGTAAAGCAAGCTTATATGAAGACCCCAGCTGGTATTGCATTTGGATTCCTATGGGTCAAGGTCATTGTTACTAAAAATAGAAAAATGGTTTCTGGACAATAATTGGAGTTAGGAATGAGATATTGTATTCAAACTTGGTGTATAGCAAGCTTATTTGGAGACCCCAGTTGGGATTACAATTAATTGAAATATTTCTTTGTACACGGTTGATAGTTTGTGTTCAAATTTATCTTCAGACTACTTATTTTTCAAAAAGTCAAAGTTGCTGGTGGGGGTATTAATCACCTTCAGTGATAGGTCTAGTTAATCCTGATGTAACATTGTGACAATCAGTTCAAATGCCACTTAAATAAAGGTACATGTACATTGTAAGGGCAGTGTTTATATATAACCTGTTTAAGAAGAAAATGCCTAAGTGACAGCTATACTGTTCACGGTGACACATACAACTCACAGAATTCTAGTTAGATATACTTTTGTCTTATATATTATAATGAACTGATTGGCTGCTTAAGCAAAACCCATCATTATAATTTATTGAATTTGGAAGACATGTAGATAAAACAGTGTCTCCTAGGCCAAGTTATTAACCTTTTTGTTTGATTGGGTTTTTACCTCACACCAACACTATATAGGTCATTCCGTTCTTAGTAGAACCACCGACGTTCCGTAAGCTAGCTTGATGGCTTCCTCACATGAAAGAATCCAATGTCCCTGTTGGGATTCGAACTCACAGCAATGAGGGGCAAGTGGTTTGAAGTCAACGACCTTAACCACTCAGCCATGGAGGCTCCTATTAACCTTTAACATCCTGGAACTGGAAGTGACTAGTTTTCACCACCAGTGTAGTCAGCCAGGTAAGTCTGCACCAGGCTCTAAAATGTTGGCTGACCAACTTAAGATTTTCATCTTAATATCAACACTATTGATAATGGACTGTTCTATAAATGGAAGCTGGACAAGTCCATTTAAGAAATTCGGCAGGTTTAGGGTTGTTATAGTATCACATCTTGTGTCTTCGAAATTTGAAATTAATGTGTCGGTGCTTTACATGTCCTTGTTTATATATATTTTATTCACTAAAAAGTCATTCTAGACACATCTGTTTATGTGTTTTAAAGACCAGTGCAAGATACAGAATTTTCCATTTTAAGAATAAGTTATGGCTCTTAATGTTGAATGATGCATATTGAATTTATTGTTTGTTTGCCTATTAACTGAGGATAACAATAAATGTATATATAACCTCTAAATGTTAGTCACAAAGTATAGGGGTGTCAAGTTATCCATTTAAATGGGTTTGGTCTATTTTTTAACCAATAAACAGATAGAGAATTAAATAACTGGAAATCAAGCTTAGTACAAGACAAACAGCTGATGAAATTTTAGAATTTTAAAATTACTTTGTTTCTTTATGACTTTAAGAATTACAATTTTTCTGATAGCATGCTGTCTTATGATGTACTGTACGGTACGATCCTAACGAATCAGTTTCTCCATAATAAGATATGTTTTGTAATGGTTGTCTAGTATAACAAAATATGAACAAAATGTGCTATCTTATCAAAGTTGATATTTAAATTCTAAGAATTATTTCAGTATGTTTGTTTAAACATTTACCACGGTTATTAAGTCACTGTTTAACCCATTACCAGATATACATGCCTTAACGCCTTTTTCACCCCCCCCCCCTTTTTGTTGTGTCAAATTGTGAAAAATGCCTTATTTAGGCCCCCAACACTTTTTTTTGTTTGAGGAATGTAGTTTATAAAAGTTATCACTTGGCGCTGCCCCCTATCCAAAAGATACATCAGGGGGTTGCCAGAAGGGGGATGTCTCTTCGGTTTGGGGATTTGAAGGGGGCACCAGCCCCCCACATGACCAAGAAAATTTTGGACTTGTGAGAGGCTAAACATGACCCCAGGTCAATTATAAGGTAACATGTAACCAACACTGAAAAGCCTTTGACACTATCTCAATCCATTGAGAAGTTGCAGCACTTTGAAATCAATTTTGATGGAAAAAATCAATGCAAAATAGTCATTTTGGCAATTTTGAGATATCCTCCGTTGCCATGGTAACAGGAAATTTAAGACTGAGCATGTTGTTACAAAAGCAATGGTCCAGTCAACATGTGCCAAGTTTGATTAGTATTGAAGCAGTTTTTATAGTTTTAAAGCAATTTGAACTTGTAACGGGAGACTTTTCAATGAAAACAGCCATTTTTCACAAAATGCTCATGCGCTAATGAGTTAAACAGTTAGCATTTTAAAAAGTGTTGACACCTTAGTGACATGTCAGTTTAAGTAAAGACTCTTTACACTTTTTATACACCTCTGTATTTAACATTGCCCAGAGTCATGCATACTAAAAAGCATGCAACAATTGGGTGTCACAAGAATCTATTACCTGTTTATTCTGTACTGTTTAGCAGCAATGTGTACCAGCATGTACAGTTTTTATGCAAGAATTAACTTTTTGCATGCTTTTTAGCTCACCTGTCACAAAGTGACAGTCCTGCGTCAGTCCATAATCTTTTACGTTAAACGACATCTCCTCGTAAACTGCTAAGCCAATTTCATCCAAACTTCTCAGGAATGTTCCTTTGGTAGTCATCAAAGAATTTTATTTGTGGCAGAACTCTGGTTGCCATGGCAACTGAAAGAAAAAAATTAAAAAATCCTCTTTAGAAAAAAAGGAAAGAGCTAGAGCTTAAATATTTGGCATGAAACATCGTCTAGTCAGTGTCTACCAAGTTTGTTCAAATAAATGCCCTGGGGTCAAAATTGGCCCCGCCCCAGGGAGTCATTGTTTTTAGCTCGACTTTTCTATGAAAAGGGGAGCTATCCTACTCGCCCCGGCGTCGGCGTCGGCGTTGGCGTCACACCTTGGTTAAGTTTTTCGTACCACCCCACTTTATTTCAGAAGTATTACAAGTATGGCTTTGAAACTTACCATACTTGTTCACCATCATAACCTCCATCTACAGACAAGAGTACATAACTCTGTCAAGGTTTTTGACAGAATTATGGCCCTTTTTTGACTTAGAAAGTGTATTGAGCTTGGTTAGGTTTTTTGTACCACCTCACTTTATTTCAAAACCATTGGAGGTATTGCTTTGAAACTGACCATACTTGTTTACCATCACGACCTTCATCAACAGACAAGAGGACATAACTCTGTCAAGGTTTTTGACAGAATTATGCCCCTTTTTGACTTAGAAAATACATTGAATATGGGTAAAATCCACTTATTGCCTTAACCCTTTGAGATATTGCTTTGAAACTTTTAATGCTATTTCACATCATTACCCCCATCTGTACGCAAGAGAAGGTAACTCTGTCAAGGATTTGTTTTAAAAATTAAGGCCTTTTATCGACTTAGAATCTTGGTTAAGTTTTTAGTACCAGTCCACTTTTTGACTGAACTGTTTGAGATATTAATTTGAAAGTTGGAATACTTGTTTACAATCATGATTCCCAAACATGTCCAGGAGAAGGTAATTCTGTCAAAGATTTTATTTGAATTATGGCCCTTAACTGTCAATGTTTTGTATTATAGGCAAGCACTAAAAAAGTCGAGCGCGCTGTCTTACGGACAGCTCTTGTTCCTTATTTGTATATAATAAAAATCTTCTTTGAAAAAACCCAAATAGCTAGAGCATAGATATCAAGAATCTTAATGGTATCTACCAAGTTTGTTCAAATAAATGCCTTGGGCTCAAAATTGGCCCCTCCCCAGGGGGTCATTGTTTTACCCTTTATGTATATAGTAAAAACTTTAAAAAAAATCTTCTTTTAAAAAAAAGGTAAGAGCTAGAGCTAAGATATTTAGTATGAAACATCTTCTAATGGGTGTCTACCATTTTTGTTCAAATAAGGGCCCTGGGGACAAAATTGGCCTTGCCCCAGGGGTCATTGATTTTCTTCATATGTGTATAGCAAAAACTTAAAAATCTCTAGCTTAAGGTGTGCACCTGGATACTTTTGTGTGGATTTGTTTAATATTTGTAGAGTTATTGCCCTTGACTTAGTAAAAATTTGCAATATTCAACTTGTGTCACAAGAAGCTCAAAAAATATTTGACCTAGAGTCATGAAACTGTACAGGAATGTTGATCAGCATGTGAAGTTGTGCACCTGGATTTATTCTGTTTTGTCATAATTATTGCCCTTGACTTAGTGTAAGTTTGCAATTTTTAACTTGTGTGACACATAGCTTTTGACCAAGAATCATGAAACTTTACAGGAATGTAGCCCAGCATGTGAAATTGTGCACCTTGGGTTTCCCTTGTGAGTTTTTAGCTCACCTGTCACAAAGTGACAGGTTGAGCTTTTGTGATCTCTTTTCGTCCGTCCATCCGTCCGTCGGTCGTCCGTCCGTCGTCCGTCCGTAAACTTTTACTTTAAATGACATCTCCTCATAAACCACTGAGCCAATTTCATCCAAACTTCACAGGAATGTTCCTTTGGTGGTCACCTTTAAAAATTGTTCAAAGAATTTAATTCCATGCAGAACTCTGGTTGCCATGGCAACCGAAAGAAAAAACTTTAAATATCTTCTTTTAAAGAACCGTAAGAGCTAGAGCTTAGATATTTGGCATGAAACATCTTCTAGTGAATGTCTACCAAGTTTGTTCAAATAAAAGCACTGGGGTCAAAATTGGCCCCGCCCCAGGGGGTCATTGATTTTCCCTATATGCATATAGTAAAAACTTAAAAAATCTTCTTTTAAAGAACCCAAAGAGCTAGAGCTAAGATATTTAGCATGAAACATGTTCTAATGGGTGTCTACCAAGTATGTTCAAATAAAAGCCCTGGGGTCAAAACTGGCCCCGCCCCGGGTGTCATTGATTTTCCTTATATGTGTATAGCAAAAACTTAAAAATCTTCTTTGAAAAAACCCAAATAGCTAGAGTTTAGATATTAAGCATGAAACATCTTTAAGTAAATATCTACAAAGTTTGTTCAAATAAAAGCCCAGGGGTCAAAACTGGCCCTGCCCCAGGGGTGTCATTGTTTTTAACTATATGTGTATAGTAAAAACTTAAAAAATCTTCTTTTAAAAACCCAATGAGCTAGAACTTAGATGTTTAGCATGAAACATCTTCTTATGGGTGTCTACCAAGTCTGTTCAAATAAACAAATAAAAGCCCTTGGGTAAAAAATTGGCCCGGGGGGGGGGGGGGCTATATACAGGTGAGCGACCTCAGGGCCATTATGGCCCTCTTGTTTCTGTTTTGTCAGAGTTATTGCTCTTGACTTTTTTCATTTTATGTCTCACATACCGACTCTTAGTTCATATTCTTCAGCAACAAAGGGAAATGTGTTCTGCGAATTGCTATTAAAATATGATTTTCCAATTTCCTTTATACCGACCGCTGATTTAAAAACAGAAAATTATTATCGAGAATCCCTTGCAAAATCAAAATAAGATTCATTTTAATAGTTTTATTCTTTAAACATTATGTCTATGTTTCTTTACCAATCGGTACTGAAAAATGAGCCCGCATCACCGCTTACAGAACTCTCAAAAAAGACCCTAATAAGATCAATTTTTTTTAGTAACTCGACCATGAGTCGAGTTGATTTTTATGGACAGTTTTGGCAACCGGTTTTGGTCGACTTATGGCCGCAGATCTACGGTAGCTCAAAAAGTATTTACCTACATTGACAGAATGATGGCAGATTGGCAATTTTTCTGTTCATAACTGAGTGAATTGGTTAATATTTTCTGAAAAATTGTTATTGAAAGAATCTGAGCCAAGGGCATTTGTGTTCATCAAACACATCCTTGTTTTTCAAGTAATGAAATGTATAACAATTTTCATCTTTCAGATAAAAATAGAAATATCAAAGATGCAGAGGATCAGGTGCCACTTCAAGATACAAAAGTTAACTCAGGTTTGTAACACTTATATAAGTTCTTCTGTAACTTTATAACAGCTGAAAAAAATGAAATAAATTGGCAAAAATTATTACCATTATTACCTGATGTGCAGAACCCAACATCCAGGTTGCTACCCCTTATGTCTAGGTTATATGTTCTCCATAACTTTTTGGCTTCATGGACGGTTTTAGATAACTTGGCACAAATAATCACTATCATGAGACTATAATATGATGCTTAAAATATACATGGCACAACATCAAGTGATGGTCTGTTAAAGGTCAAGAAGTACACATTCATGTCTGCTGCAGAAGTGGATTTAGCTGTCCTTAAGACTGCCTTGTCAAATTTTGAAGGAAGATACTTAACCCATTACCAGATATATACGCCAGATGTGCCCCCTTCTGTTTGGGGGGTCTGAAAGGGGGATGAGTCCCCCTCATCGCCAAGTAAATTTTGGACTTGTGAGAGGCTAAAAATGACCCCAGGTCGATCATAAGGTAACGTGTAACCAATGCTGAAAAGCCTTTGACTCTATCTCAATCTATTGAGAAGTGGAAGCACTTTGAAATCAATTTTGATGGAAAAAAATCAACGCAAAATAGTGATTTTTGGCAATTTTGAGATGTCCCCTAGTTGCCATGGTAACAGGAAATTTAAGACTGAGCATGTTGTGTGCAAAGGCAATGGTCCAGTCAACATTTGTGCCAAGTTTGATTAGTATTGTAGCAGTTTTTATAGTTTTATAGCATCTTGAACTTGTAACGGGAGACTTTTCAATGAAAACAGCCATTTTTCACAAAATGCTCATGGGGTAATGGGTTAATGAAAAAAATAAATAAATCTACAAAACAACAATTTTTCTTCAAAATTTATGTTAGGCAATGTTCTAACATGGAAAAAGGCGATTTTGGGTAATTTCAGGTATTTTCATCATTTTCTGTTTACCCATTACCAGATATATACGCCTTTCTACGCCTTTTTCCCCCCCCCCCCCCCCTTTTTGCTACTCAAATGGTGAAAAAAATGCCTTATTTAGGCCCCCAAACACTTGTTTTTGTTTGAGAAATGTTGTTTAAAAATTGACCACTTTTTCGGCGCCGTCCCCCATCCAAAAGATACATCGGGGGGTTGCCAGAAGGGGGATGTGCCCCTTTCTGTTTGGGGGGTCTGAAAGGGAGCGGAGTCCCCCTCATCGCCAAGAAAATTTTGGACTTGTGAGAGGCTAAAAATGACCCCAGGTCGTTCATAAGGTAATGTGTAACCAATGCTGAAAAGCCTTTGAATCTATCTCAATCCATTGAGAAGTGGCAGCACTTTGAAATCAATTTTGATGGAAAAAATCAACCCAAAATAGTGATTTTTGGCAATTTTGAGATGTCCCCTAGTTGCCATGGTAACAGGAAATTTAAGACTGAGCATGTTGTTACAAAGGCAATGGTCCAATCAGCATTTATGCCAAGTTTGATTAGTATTGAAGCAGTTTTTATAGTTTTTTAGCAACTTGAACTTGTAACAGGAGACTTTTCAATGAAAACAGCCATTTTTCACAAAATGCTCATTGGGTAATGGGTTAAGGTGGTCCTTTAAGTTTGGTAGGGCTTTTGGGTCAGTTGTTTATTATATCTGATAAAGTTTTATTGTTGAATATCTTTTAACTTCATCACAAGTCATAGCAATGTCTTCCCGACTTATATTTTTCCCAATTGCAAAACACCATTACTGTCAAGTTGTATAGTTACACAACTGTGTTTTCAATATTTTGGCAATTTTTCATTCCAAAACTAAGTGAATAGGTAAGCCATTTTTAGCTCACCAGAACAGGAGGTACAGGGTGAGCTATTAGTATCAAAGGGGGATACTCCGGTGTCATGAGTTAACAATTGTCTTCTTCCCTGAATCTGCTGGGCAGATTTACCTCAAATTTGGTCTGTAGCATCCTTGTGACAGTCACACTTAAATTTGCTCATGTCATTTTAATTGGCCCCTTTTAGGGGTCAACAGAGCTAAAAATAAAAAATACCTTTTACAGAACTTATTGATGGATGATCACCAAACTTTGTCTGTAGCATTCTTGGGTAGTCTTTTATCAAGTTTTCTCATATTAATTTGACTGGCCCCTTTTATGGGTCTCTAGAGCTAAAAATAGAAAAACCTTTAGACATCTTCTTCTACAGAACTAATTGATTGATGATCACCAAACTTTGTCTGCAGCATTGTTAGAAAGTCTTTTATCCAATTTGCTCATATACATTTGATTGGCCCCTTTAAGGGGCTGCTAAAGCTAAAAATAGAAAAACCTTTAAACGTCTTCTTTTACAGAACTAATTGATGATCACCAAACTTTGTCTGCAGCATTCTTGGGGAGTCTTTAATCAAGTTTGTTCATATTAATTTGATCGGCCCCTTTTAGGGGCTGCTAAAGCTAAAAATAGAAATATATTTAAAAATCTCCTTTTACAGAACTAATTGATGGATGATCACTAAATTTTGTCTGTAGCATTTTTGGGTAGTCTTTCATCAAGTTTGCTCATATTAATTTGATTGGCCCCTTTTAGGGCCACTAAAGCTAGAAAAAGAAACAATGTTGAAGATCATTTCCTACTGAAATAATTGATGGATGACCACCAAACCTTGTCTGTAGCATTCTTAGGTAGTCTTTTATCAAGTTTGCTCATATTAATTTGAAAGGCCCCTTATAGGGGCCCGCTAAAGCAAAAAATAGAAATACCTTTAAATTTCTACTGCTATAGCTAGTGGATAGATGATCATCAAATTTTGTTTGTAGTCTTTTATCAAGTTTGTTCATATTAATTTGATTGGCCCCTTTTAGGGGCATCTAAAGCTAAAAATATAAAAACCTTTAAACATCATCTCCTATTGAAATAATTGATGGATAATCACCAAACTTTGTCTGTAGCATTCTTTGGTAGTCTTTGCTTATATTAATTTGATTGGCCCCATTTAAGCTAAAGCTTAAATGCCCTAGGTCATGGCATTTCTTCAAATTATAGTTTAAAGATATATTCTTTGCTCAAATTTAATATATGGAAATTATTGACAATAGATAATTTCCAACACTGACTCAGGGCCATGATGGCCCTCTTGTTTAAAAATTGTTACTGACAAAAATCTGAGTTAGGGGCACCTGTGTTTAACAAACATGTTCTTTTTTCTTCTGTAATTGATGATGTCATTTAAAAAAGGTTACCAAAAAATAAACTGTGACATTTTGATGAACTTTGTAACATAAGAGTTATCAGAATTTTTATGACAGGGGGCATGAAAGCATAATAATTATAGTTTCTAACCTTTTGAATTGTGATTCAAAATATATTTTAATTTTTTCTCATGGTATAAAGCGTATAACAACTTTCATCTTTCAGATATAAATAAAAATATTAAAGGTGCAGGGGAACAGGTGCCACTTCAAGATACAGAGGCTTGTGCAGAAGTTAACTCAGGTTTGTAACACTTATATAGGTTCTTCTGTAAAGAGATTCATTAAAGTCATGAAAGATTTCATTAATAGTGACACATTCCTGGATAAGCACAACTTGCTTAACATTAAATCAATTGTAATAGTTTAACTAGTATGAACTCACCTATAAAAAAATCTTGTCGCTTTGGTATAGTCTGATTTTATTGACCTGTCAATTATGAATACATTATAGCACTCATTTAAATATTCGATCCCACTTCGGTTGTGTCCGTTTATTTTACGAGAATTAATATGGAGTATTTAAATAACGTTCGGAAAACTCCCACTAACTTAATACAGGTTCTCGTAACATCCGCAATAGCGCAGTCGGTTAAGTGATTACCTAATGCGTGAGAGGTCCGAGGTGCGATCCCTTCTTTCGGCATTCTTTTTAGACTTATTCTTTCTTTATTATTAAGAAATTTTTAATAAAATAGTCAATCGCTTGCAAAATTGTCTACACGGATATGAAACACCTAAGAAACACTGAATTGTCACATTTTGTATTGTATTTTAGGTTACTGAAATTACATTTATTGATTTTAATCCGAATGAATTTTCAGAATTAATTCTATTATGACAAACAGTTATAATATAACAATGTTATATACAAAAGTATAGTATTTACAAAAAAGTTCAAAACATATTAAAAATGGAACAACCATAACTTCAAAAATGTTGAAAATAGTTATGAATAAGAAAAAAACCTGGACATACTCTGACACGATCTTACAACACGTTGGACATTCAGATAAAATATACCCGTAGTTCACCCTATTGCGCTATAACGGTCAGTGTAATTTAATCATCGAAACTAGATAAGTTTAATCACATAATACTGCGTACCTCTCACGGAATTCACCAAACATTTATCGAATATTAATATGTTTTGTGCATTGACTGTATAATCAGTATGGAATTGACAGGTTAATAAAATCATAAAATCAAACAATAACAGAAAGGGAAATCTATTTATGAAAAAAAATGAAATTTTTAATATTCTTTTATGTCTTTTATCAAGATGGTTTAAATAATCATGCAGGACGTGTAGGCTGACCTGGCTCTATACTACTTGCTGACCAACATAAAAATTTCATTTTATTTTCCCTAAAATTGATAATGGACTGTTCCATAAGAAAATTCAACGTTATAGTATCACTACTTGTCTCTTTGAAATCTATCTAAATTATAGTCTAAAAATGTTAACACTTGTTCTGCAGGTTAACTGCTGGCAGATTAGCACCAACCCAAGTTGGACATATTGTGGGCACATTTCCTTGGCTGTACAAATGGCCACCAGATCTAAAAATAGAAAGACTTTGTACAGCTTTCACTGGAGTGATCAGCACCCACCCATATTGAGCATATCACTGGCACATTCTGCTTTGTTGCTCGAAATGGCCACTTGAGCTTAAAATAGGAAAACCTTGACAGGCTTTCATAGATTCTGTTCCTTTGGGATTTAGATGAAACTTAAAAGGAGTGATCAATACCAATCCTAGCTTAGCATAATTATTGTCTGCACATCATTTCGCTTTGATGCACAAAAAGGCTACCAGAGGTAGAAAGCTTGTCCAGCTTTCAAAGGTTTTTTAACTGCTTTTGGGATTTAAAAAAAAAAAAAAGTTGTGAATGCTTTTGGGATTTACATGCCACTATTCCATCATAAGAGGACAATTATGGGGGAGATATATTCTAGTTTACATCTGAAGGACCCCACTTTCAGGTCAAAGCCACAGTTATAGGTCAAATATGTGAACCAGTAATTTTTATCAACTTTGTATCTCTTGAAATGACAGAGCAATATTTTTGTAATGACCCCCACCAAAGAAGTGGGGGTATATTGCTGTCGGTCCATAGACCAAATGGTTACCGCTCAATAACTAAAGAATGCTGTGGCCTCGGAACTTCAAACTTGGTATGATGATTGTTCATGACCAGTAAATGATCCCTATTGATTTTGGGTCAAAGTGTCAAAGGTCAAGGTCACAGTGACCGTGTAGGTAAAAACAGTTTCCGATCAATAACTAAAGAACAATTTGGCCTAGGAACTTCAAACTTGGTATGATGATTGTTCATGACCAGTAGATGATCCCTATTGATTTTAGAGTTAAGGGGTCAAAGATCAATGTCACATTGACCTTGTAGGTAAAATGGTTTCAACTCTATAGCTATAGAACGCTTAGGCCTAGGAACTTGTTACGATGATTGTTCATGACCAGTAGGTAACCCCTATTGATTTTTTGGTCACTAGGTCAAAAGGCAGTCATTATATCCTGATCACATGACTAATTGCTGCCAATAAGGGTCATACATGTTTTACAATCATATCTTGTTCATTGATAGAGAATATCCATATATCAAGCACACTGAGGTTGCACAAATTTAGATTGTTTTTCTGAAAAAAATTTTATACAAATAAAAACTCTTCCCAAATTAAAATATTATTTCAGCATTCTCAAACTTGCATTCACAGGTGTCTTGCTCTGACCTTGAAATGAAATGCTTTAACAATATTGAAACAATATTATCATTTTTTATATACATGTATGTATTTTTTTTGTTAGAGAAAAGACCTTTGAAACGAAGAAATGGAAAGACAGGTGAACTAAAGAAAACATATAATGACACACTTACTCCAACAATTTTGAATGCATTGAACTCTCAGGCAGAGAGTGTTGGATGCCTCATTTGTGAAGAGGGTATTGCTGGGACAGTATTCAAAGTTGGAACAAATCATGCTATGACAGCCTGTCATGTTGTTTATTTCATTATCAGAATAGGTAAAAACTTTTTGTCTTTATTTCATAGATGTCATTATAAATTTTTATGCCCCTGAAGGGTGGCATATTTAAATCGAACCATCTGTCCGTCTGTCTGTCCTACGACTAAGGTCAAGGTCACTCTAGGCGTTCAAACTTTGTCATTTTTATGCCCCTGAAGGGTGGCATATTAAAATCGAACGGTCTGTCTATCAGTCTGTCACTTAGTCTGTCAGTTCGTCCGGCTTTATACATATAGACAGTAGTGGTCGTGTCCACTCTGAAACTTCAGTATGCATGAAAGGATTTTTTTTTTCATTCATATATGAAATAACCATAGATGTATGGTGTGTTGCGAATAAGACTCGGGTTCCTACGACTAAGGTCAAGGTCACTGTGGGGGTTCAAACTTTGCCATTTTTTATGTTATATGTATATATAAGGTGGTGGTCGTGTCTGTCTGAAACTTAAGTATGCATGGAAGGATTGTAATTTTTCTTTCACATATGAAATATCCATAGATGTATGGTGTGTTGCAAATAAGACTCCGGTTTCTACCACTAAGGTCAAGGTCACTGTGCAGGTTCAAACTTTGTCATTTTTTATATTATATGAATATAGATGGTGGTTGTCGTGTCCGCTCTGAAACTTCAGTATGCATGGAAGGATTTTAATTTTCTTTTAAATATGAAATTACCATAATTATGGTGTGTCGCGAACAAGACTCGGGTTTCCACGAGTTAGGTCAAGGCTACTGTGGGGGTTCAAACTTTGTCATTTTTTATGTTATAAAAATATAAAAGGTAGTGGTTGTGTACGCTCTGAAACTTTGTATTCATGAAAGGATTGTAATTTTTCTTCTACATATGAATTTACCATATATGTATGGTGTGTCGCGAACAAGACTGGGGTTTCTACGACTAAGGTCAAGGTCACTGTGGGGGTTCAAACTTTGTCATTTTTTATGTTATATAAATAAAAAAGGTGGTGGTAATGTGGGCTATGAAATATCAGTATGCATGAAAGGATTTTAATTTTTCTTTCACATATGAATTAACCATAGATGTATGGTGTGTCGCAAACAAGACTCGGGTTTCTATGAATCAGGTAGAGGTCACTGTGGGGGTTCAAACTTTGTCATTTTTTTTGTTATTTAATTATAGAAGGTGGTGGTTATGTCCGCTCTGAAACTTCAGTATGCATGATAGGATTTTAATTTTTCTTTCATATATGAAATAATCATAGATGTATGGTGTGTGGCGAACAAGACTCGGGTTTCTACAAGGTCACTCTGGGCATTCAAACTTTGTCGTATATAGATTGTGGTGGTTGTGTCTGCTCAGAAACTTTAGTATGCATGAAAGGATTTTAATTTTTCTTTCACATATGAAATAACCATAGATGTATGGTGTGTCGGGAACAAGACCTGGGTTTCTTTGACTAAGGTTAAGGTCACTCTGGGGGTTCAAACTTTGTCATTTTAAATTTTTATATTATATAAATATAGAAGGTGGTGGTGATGTCCGCTCTGAAACTTGGGTATGCATAAAAGGATTTTTTATTTTTCACATATGAATTTACCATAGATGTATGGTGTGTGGCGAACTCGGGGTTTCTACTTTAAGGTCACTGCTGGGGTTTGAACATTGTCAATGTTTACCACCACACTTAACATGTAATAGGTGGTTTATAACTAGAATCTTTCGGGGGCATTTGTCACATTCTGTGACAGCTCTTGTTTTTAATAATTTCTATGCCCCCAAAAATGGGGGGGTCAGAGGTCAAGGTCACACTTGTATATCCAAAGTCAAGATAAGAATTTTTATGAAAATGCACTGAAGTTTATAAACATGTTGGACATAATGACGATGTGTAGTGTGCATGAATCAGGTCACTAAAATGGAGCATTATCTGAGTGAGCTATTAGTGTAAATAGGATCCTCTGATGCCATGCACTAACAATTGTCAAAATACTTGTCAAATTTAATTCAAATTTGTCGTTTAGCATCTTTGTGTGGCTGTGTGCACATTACAGAAGTGTGCACATTTAACAGATATTGGCCTGTTTAAGTGACTACACCACAAAAAATAGATCTCAAAGACTATAAACATTCCATGAATCTATTGTGGATTGTCATAGTAAGTGGTATGTAGTATCTGTATCAGAATTACTCAAGTGATATGATTTTTAGCTGTTCAAGCTATTAAGATGGCTAGGTTGTTGCCTTAGTTATCATTGTGAAATTTTTTTTATTGTAGCCCATAACTCAAATACTGTTAAATGTATCAACACAAACATGGACTTCCTTATAAGTATGACAAGGCGCAATTGTAAGATCAGGGTCAATATTGTGAAAGCTATAATTTTGGTGTTATGCCCTTTTTCAAAGAAAAAATGTGGAGCAATTATCATGACTATCTCTTCAGCATTGGGGTGACTGCATCAGTTTTGGTTAAGGTCCATTTTCTCAGAAACTAGAAAAGTTATTCACTACAAACTTGGTATAAACTGGATTTCCATGATTATTTATGTCTCCCAAAACTTTTTGGAGACATATTGCTTTTGCCCTGGCCGTCTGTCTGTCCGTCAGAACAAACATTTTGATACTTATGTGGCTAGTGAAAAAAAAAACTTTATACACCCAAAAGAAGTTTGGCATATATTGTTATGCACCTTGTTTTCCGTCTATCGGTACAAACATATAAATACTTAAGTGGCTATGGGAACAATAGGTAATAGTTAATTTCCTTTGATTCTATTCATTCATTGAGCTCGTAAGTGGCTATTTATTCTCTTATGTGGTTTAAAGAACAGTAGAGAGAACAAAAGAGTAGCAACCTAAGTACCAAACTTTGATCATGTCCGTCCGTCCATCCATACAAACCCAGAGGTACTTGTGTGACTTGGAGTACAGTGGGTAACAGTAAATTCTCTTTGATCCTATTCATTACGTTTTTACTTGTGTGTCTTTTTTTAAGCTTTGTGTGACTAAAAATGGCCAAAAAGATCAAAAGAAAAGTCACATAAGTACCATTTCTCAAGTACGGGCTATTTAAGAGAAGTAGAAGGCCATGTAACTGTAAACAGAACAAAAGAGAACAATAAAGTTCATTCCATAACAATAGAATAAGGGGCCATGGCCCTCTATTAAACAAAGGAAAATAACAAAGAAATGGCCCCTTAGTCTATTTAAATGGCATGTCCGTCCTTTTTCTTGTCCTGTCTGTATGTTTTAAGCCGTTGGAAGGAAATTGAAACAACTCGGCAGAAAATTTCAATGTAAACCGGAAGGAGACGATGTGCAGAGAGCAGGTTTGACCTTTCTAAAGTCAAGGTCACACTTAGTCATTTTGTTTCAATATCAAAATGTGTGTCCACTCTGTACATTTTGAACCAATAGAAAGAAATTAAAACTTTTTGGCAGAAATTTAACTAATTTTAAGGCGGTATGTAGAACACAAGTTTCCACTTTCTAAGATCATAATTGGCCCCTCCCCAGGGATTTATTGATTTATATTGACTTATATAGGAGTTTTCATGTCCGGTCTGTATCTTTTGAACTGGTGGAAGGAAATTGAAACTACTTTGCAGGAATGTTAACCATAATGAGACGATGTGAAGAGCACAGGTTTGACTCTCCTCAGGTCAAGGTCACACCTAGTCATTTTGTATCAATATCAAAAATTTTTTTTCTTTTGTCCGGACTATAACTTGAAGACTAATGGTTGGAATTTAATATAACTTCATACAATGGTCAAACACATTGAGAGGAAGTGCAGTGCATAAGAACCATAACTATCATGACTCATTATAGAGTTCTTGCCCTTTGTTACTTTTCCATGGCTTTCTTTTGTCCGGACCATAACTTGAAAACTACTGGTTGGAATTCAAAACAACTTCATACAATGGTCAAGCACACTAAGTGGAAGTGCAGAACACAAGAACCATAACTCTATCTAAAATAATTACAGAGTTATTGCCCTTTGTTACTTTTTCATTGCTTATTTTTGTCCAGAGCATAACTGGAAGACTAATGGTTGGAATTCATTACAACTTATTACAATGATCAAGCACATTGAGAGAAAGTGCAGTGCACAACAACCATAACTCCATCTTGACTAATTACAGAGTTATTGCCCTTTGTTACTTTTCCTTGTCCGGAGCATAACTTGAAAACTACTAGTTGGAATTCAACACAACTTCATACAATCATTAAGCACATTAAGAGGAAGCGCAGTGCACAAGAACCATAACTCTGTTAAGAGTAATTATTGAGTTACTGCCCTTTGTTTCTTTTCCATTGCTTTTTTCTTGTCCAGAGCATAACTTGAAAAGTACTATTTGGAATTCAATGCAATTCCATACAATGGTCACGTATATTGAGAGGAAGCGCAGTTCACAGAAACCATAACACTTTCTTGACTCATTTAAGGGCAGTGAGATGAAGTGCAGTGCAGAAGAAGCATAACTCTATTTTGACTCATTACAGTTATTGCCCTTTGTTACTTTTTTGTCCAGTGCATAACTTGAAAACTAGTAGTTGGAATTCAATACAACTTCATACAATGGTCAAGCGAAATGAGAGGAAGTGTACAATAACCATAACTCCATCTTCAGTATTTGTAGCCTTATTGCCTTTTGTTCCTTTACCTTGTCCGGTGCATAACTTAAAACTAATGTTTAGAGAATTCAATGCAACTTCATACAATGGTAAAGCACAATGAGAGGAAGTGCAGTGCTCAAGAAGCGTAACTCTTTCTGGATTATTACAAAAATAATTCAATAAAACTTCATCAATGGTCAACCATATTGTAAGGAAATTTAACATACAAGAACCACAACTATCTTTAATTGCCCACAACCATAACTCTATTTCAATTCTTTAACAAGGTATTCTGTTACCTGTAACTTCCTCATTTCTGAAGACGTCTTGTGGGGGTATTAATCACATTTAGTGATAGAACTAGTTTTTATCAAATTTTATATTTTTAGAATTTTTTTTTTTCTGTTTAGATTATAA